AACTGGAACCTAAACTAAATCGAACCATGTCAAGCAACATATTTATAATGAAAATGTTTTTATGCTTTAATTTTAAAGAGTGAAGTTTTCGTTCGGAATTAGGGACACATGTTCCTAATTCCGAACGCACATATCAAATCCCAAAAATTTATTTGATAATAGTAAATAATTTATTATTGCATAGACCTCTAGCTTAGAGTTAAGTTAAAAGATTTTAAAATTAAAACTAATTTTATATTTTAATGTAATGGTATAACATCATTGGTACAGAGTGTGCATTATATATTTATTAGATCATGTTGTTGGTTCCCTATGATTATTTAGATTTTACTTAATTTATGCTTCATAGCTTTTATTATCTACAGAGTTACAGAGCACGCCATGCTTTTTTTTAAAATTTCTTTAAACAAAAATAGGTGAGACAAATAAATGGGTTGGCGAGCATATTAGAGTTCTCCACATGAGAGATGCAACACCTGTCTTTCATTATATTTTTGCAATCAGTTAAACAATATCGCGTAATAGTGAAACATAAACAATATCGCAGCAATAGTGATCATTTGGAGGTAGCAACTATATCTGTACTGAAAAAATTTGATATTTTTTTTATTTTAATAAAAAAGTTGTAGTAGCTAAAAAAATATTTTTTTTAAGCATCAAGCTACAAAAATTTAAACTAATAAAAGTTATTCACACCTCTTGCACACAAATTCAATTGTTTTGTGATAATTGACAATACAAGGAATACACGACCAGTTTGAATACTTTTCACATGCAACCCATTTGGTGCTTGTAGCTTTATCCCAAAGGATTCCACAGGAATAACAATGACGATTGATTTAGTAGGCATTACAGTTTGTGACAGGAAGACATTCAATATTTGGACTAGTAGACATCTTTTTTGTTTCTTTACATTTCTGAGACCGGGGTTTCTTAAGTTTTAAAAGCTTATTTTCTTCTCTTTTTTTAAACTTTTATTCTTGGAGAATTGCTGCGTCAAATTTTTTTTCTCTAATATTTTTTCAAGTTTTCTTTTTTTAGCAGCTTGTGTAGCTTCATCCTGAGCCATTGCTGATAGTTCAGTCATGTTATAACATGTTGTTCTTTTAATTATTGTTCCCTCGTCTTTACTACTGGAAAGAGGCATCAATCTATCTCTAAGCACAGTGAGAAATGATTTGTTATTATCAAAAGATACTGGTT